GGGAACGCAGCCTTTGACGCACCGTCCCCGCGCCCGGTGCCGCGCAGCGCTTCCCGGCTGTGGGGCCGATGTGTGGTTTTAGGTCTCTGTTTATTCATTTATGTTTTCCTCCCCTTTTCAGGCTAGTTTTCTATGTCCGCATAGACTTAGTAGCTCTCAGCGCGGCCAGTGCCCTCGTTATTTTCGCGCACACGTTGCGGGACGCCCGAGCTGGCGCCTCTGGAACGTCCCGCGTCACCTTTTTGTCAGTGGAAGTGAGAAAACTGAAAAAGCAAAACAAAACAAATTAAAACACTATTAAATACGAGTGTTGCTGATGTTATTTCTCCACAGCTTTCACTAAATGCAACTTCCATGGCGTTATTTGTAAGATCCTCTAAGACGTGGCAAAGGATTGTCAGCAGCTGCACTTCCTCGCGCTGCCCTTGTGGCCTTTTGTTGCTCGGGAGCACAGAAAGCCCTGATCTGCCTGCCTGCCTGCCTGCCTGCCTGCCAGCCAGGGGTTTTCAGTGAGGACGGCACATCCTCACTGTTCGGGAGTAATTTACTGTGGGTGTTGGCAGCACACTCCCCCTGAGCGCCTCCTGACAGCAGAGGCTCAGACGGGTGACCCTTGGCCGCCCTCGGTTTCCCTTGCAGTGTATGGGTAGGACTGGAAATCAGAACGTGCAGCTGTTTAACTGCCTTTTTCTTTTTTTTCCGCATGCATATTTCGTAAAGGTTGTATTTTCTTGATAAGGACACGGCTTCAGCAACTGATACAGGAGTTAACAAAGGTAGGACAAATTATTTTTTCAGTCTGTGTTGTTTTTTTCTATGAACTGTTGCTGTATATGTTGCCTGAGTCCTTTTTTACTTAAGAAGCATTGCATGAAGTTAATTCTTGCCAACTGTATATGTTGTCAGATTATGTCCATAGTTTTTGTTTGTATTTTAGGAAAATGTTCAGTACATTTTTAATATTTGAAAAATAGGTTTACCCTTTATTTCTCCATTCTTCCTATGTAACTGAGAATGCTTGGCTTAGGAAGTGTTTGAACTATATATAGGGATATTCTTTTTATTTAGATAGTATAATGCATTTGAGCAGAATAAAATAGATGGAACCTAAACACGTAGTAATAACGTAACTATAATTGCATATAATATTTTTTTAAAACCCTGTAATATTGTTAATATGTTCGTTCTCTTTACATTTAACCTACAGAACTTGAGTAGGGAGTTTTAAGTGCCTTAAGCATATCCTTACATTACTTTAAACATGAACAGATGCACACTCGTATAAAGCCATAAAATATGCTCTAGTAACTCCCTTGGAACAGGTTGTGTGAGCATATTGTAGTTACATAATAGTTTTACTGGTACATCCTTGACCTTTTTTTTGTGCTCCATTTGACTTGCATCCTGTATGTTTTATTCCAGCAATATAGAGCCAGTCTATTCCTTAAGTGACATGAGGTGTTTATAGTGTTCTTCCAGAATTATTTTTGATTTTTTGCCAGTTTGAAGACCTGAGTGGGCTGTCATTTTTTACCAACCTACTCTTGAGTTAATATACATCTTACCTACAGCCCATTGAAATCTGCAGAAGCTTTCCCTATGGCTGTCATTTCCTGGTGCTGAACCTTTCATAGTTACCCAGTAGTTTTGTCTGAGGAAAGAAGCACGATGGATTTTGGCTTAAGTGCTGGTTATCCCCTGGTTATCCACCTGGCAGGATTCAACATACATGTTTTAAGTCTATCTGACTGATTATTCAGTTTGTGGAGTAGGGATTGGGTGGGCTTTGTTTGTCTACGTGAATCTGATAGATTATGATAGTTTTATCAGTCTGTGGCATTTTGTATTCAGTAAGTTTGAATTAGTATTTGTGCATACTTGTACAATTTAATGATGAGATACATAACATAAAGATTAATTTGATATTTTATTAAAGTCAGTAACAGCATTTTAGTTTTGAAACCTAGGTGTTCAACCTTAAGGGCTTCTATTTTTTATTTTTATTTTTTTCCAGAGAGTTCTTCCATTGAATAGACATTAAAGAAAGTATTCCACATAGGAGAATAAGTATTTCTTAGTCAAATGGATCAGGCAGCTTACCAAAATTGCAGCTGTTAGTTTAAAAAATAACAGGAAAGAGTTAATCTCCAATATGAACTCCAATATGGGCTCCAGAACACTAAATGAAATCAATTCCACCTTCATCTGTTTTTATTAATTCCTAACCTCTCCTGTATTGTAGTTGTGTAGTTTCAAAATCTGGTGAGTCTGTTTAACCACTGAAGTCTATTGCATATCAGAAACTTTAGTAAATGTATTCCTCAGTGACTGAGCTATGGAGAAATTTATGTAGAAAGTTATGGAGTTACAGAAAGTTATGTAAAAATTAAGGCAACCAAAACTTCTTTTAATGACTGTATTTTTCTTCTGTTGTTTTGTTTGTGTATTTTTTTTCTAGAAACTCAGTCTCCAGAAATCTGTTTTGTACCAAAATTTAATGATCACACATATACTAGGAAAAAAACCGAGATAAATCCAGTAAGTATAGAAAGGTACATCTCCTGCTATGCATGCCTAACTATTAATTATTAATAAACTCATTGTGCCAAAGATCCTGATGGCCTGCAGCTGAAATTAATTTTATGGCAAGACAGCTGTCATGTGTGTATCAGCTTCTCTCAGGGAATGTATCAAAG